AAAATCGAAACGAATGAAATCGAAATATGACAAAGGTCAGAGGACAAAAAATCGACGGAGACGACAGAAAACATAACTTGAAAGATAGAGTATAGATAAAGAAAAGATTTAACTCGGATGAGTAACAACAGCAAGAGCCAAAATTATTAAAACAGAAAAGTCGCACAGGATTTGACGCCTGGTATAAGAGGTGGGAAAGCTTGGCTACGGGGCGAGACATATGTGAATGGATGGGACGGGACGAGACGGGACGACAGCGGGCGGGACCGTACAGGACCGGATCCCACCAGAAGGGACTGGACGAGAACAGCGAGATGGGACCGGATCGGATCGAACCGGACAGGACCAGATGGAACCAGATGGGATGGGACCGGACCAAATCGAGCGACACTAGACTGAACAACGCGTGACCGGATGTGATCAGACAGCGTCACACGTCACCGGACGTAGGTCGAAAGGAGCCGAATGGGACAGAGCAGGATCAGACAGGACCAGACGGAACCAGAGAACACCGGACGGAACCGGACGGAAAATGACGAGATCAGACGGAACTGGACGGAGAATGATAAGATCAGACGGAACTGGACGAAGAATGATGCTATCCGACCGGGCAGGATGGGACCAAACAAACGTTTAGAAAGTCCTATGGGAGAGCTACTACATAAGAGTCTAAAGATGTCAATTTCAAGTCTCTGCTGTTTGGCAACAGCATCTGGCTCTCGTCGGCCGCGCGGCAGTGCGCACATCCGGTATCCTTAGTCGTTTTACGTTGGTGAGGAGAGGAGCGGGGCACGCAGGGGGGGGGGGGGGGGGGGGCAGGACAGTGGACGGTGTCTTGTGCGACTGTGTCGGCAGTGAACCTGCGTGGGCATTATGCAACCATAAAAACTACCCACATTGTGTGACTCCGCTGCAGACACAAAACTATGGTGCTTTCAATATAAGCGAGAAAGCCTCTATAAGCTTCTGATTATTTGGCCAGGAGCGTAGTTTCACAAAATGCGTTGGGCACTTGGGAGGGAGGGGAGCAGGCAGGAGCAGGGGAAAATGAAGCAACCGACCTTCAAAAAGCCAATCAATGAATATCTCTCCGGATTCCACTCACTTTATACCCAGAGTCGGGATGAGGCTCCAGCCCCCCCCCCCCCCCCCCAACTGGATAGGAAAACTGCATCCCTGTGTTCGGCATTATAAGTTCAGAGCTAAAATGTCAAAATATCGACCGTCAGTAGACCAGAGGATACGGTTAAAGGACGTTATAGAGCAAACATGTATTGTATTGCCAACACTCGGTGTTTCAAGCTGTGCAAATGATAACCCGTGCACATGATGTTTGTGATAACCGCCTAGTAGTGACTTCCTTCTGGCCTTTGTGCCTTCCGATTTTTCTTTTTTAGTTATTCCTTGTCAAGCTTGTAGCACTAGCATGTGTACAGGTTATTCGTCATCGATTGCTCTCCATGTACCGTGGGAGATTCTCCGGAAGCTGCTGCCCGCAGTGCTGACCATCCACTGTGGCCCTGATACCCAATATCAAGCAGTGCATATGGCTGTCAGCCGTTTTCAGCCCTCTCAAATGGCGTAGCCAGAAGCTCCCAGGCGGAAAGGGAAACGAAAAATATCTGCTTGTCTATCAACAGGGAACTTTCCGGAGGATTTATAAAAGAGTTCGACTCAGAGAATACCAAACAGGCTGCTGAAAAAGACCGCAGGCCCGAGAACGCTGTCTCGATGAACAACAAGAACCCAGGTTTTAGGGCATGTTTACGAAGCCGGGAAGATAAAACTTGTGACGCTTCGATGGGCTTATAGGCCATGCTGTCGGATCCACGTCTTTAGCTATTTGCTTACGCAGAACAGCAAAACAAGCAATCTCGCGGCGCGCTTGCCCCACCATTGCCTCCGCTCGACAAGACACAGCTTCCCCGATTACAAATCCGGGGCGACACACATTCCCGGCTCGAAATGCGTGATATAATTCTATCAACACTGAGAATGAGCTCCAGTCACGGTGACCAGATGCGGCCGAGCCTGGATAGCTGTGCGCGAGCCCGGGCACCCTCGCGGCGAGCCCGGCCACGCGAGCGACGGGTCCGGCCACCCTTGCGGCGAGCCCGGCCACCCTCGTGGCGAGCCCGGCCACCCTCGTGGCGAGCCGGACCGTCCGAGCGACGGCAGGGCAGTCTCGCCGCCGGCTGTCACCAGGCCTAACGTCAAGCGGCAGCGGCAGTCATGGTGCTCTCAACTTCCGCACACTCTCGTGAGTGCCTGCTTAACGTGACAGGTGCGATAGCCAAGGCGCAGGGCGTCGGCCCGTCACGCCATGTGTCGTCGCCGGGCGTGACGGCAACTGCGCCGGATGTTATGCCACCACTCCCTCACTGGTGTCAGGACGACTGGCGGCGGCGACGGGCGCCCGCGGCGGCAGACTGCGCGCCGCCGCGGCTCACCAACTCGGGCTGCGGCGTGGGGGCGCATTATTAATTTACCGATGTCTGGCGCCGATGACGTCAGCTGGTGACAGCCGACACGGCCGGGCCCTGCGCTGTCGGCGGCCGCTGATGCATGCCCTCTGACAGCTCCCGCGGCGACGGCACCGTTTACTTCGACCAGCCGCTGTCGACCCGCGCCGTCCGTTTCGCCCGCACGGGTCGAGCTCGGCGGCGGCTGACGGCGACGGCACCTCAGCAGAGCCACGGGCGGGACGTGGGTCCGACCTGGCTCGATAGCCGCCGGGCCGCGGCTCTGGGGATGACGACGGTGTGCTGGCTGAACAGCGGTGGGGTCGCTGGGTGGTGACCGAACGGCCTGTCGCCGCTCCGGCGGGCTGCGGCGGAAGTCTGGAGCCGCGGCCGATGTCGCCGGACTCGGCCCTGTCCCGGCACGCAGTGAGCGACTTGGGGCCATTTGCGGGGCCTTCCCACACAGGGTGTCCCGCGCTGAATGGGCGCGGTCAGCGGGCCCACGTTATTTGCCGCTTCAAGCACTTCCAGCGTAATGACCGAAATTCCAATGGGGCTTCATAACGGCACTCTGAGCGGCTCCGGCTGAGTTATAGCCCGACCTCGTCTCGACGGTCAGCGCTCGTGACGTCAGAGCCGAACGAATATGACGTCAGAGGGGAACGCCGGTCAGGACGGTCGCGCGAGACGCGGTGCTGACCTGCACTGTGCGGCCGGACTCGAGAGATCGGGGGCTGGTGCTATGTGTCCACCGGACTCAATAGTTCGGGGACTGGTGCTATTTATCGGCCGGACTCGAGAGATCGGGGGCTGGTGCTATGTGTCCACCGGACTCGATAGATCAGGGACTGGTGCTATTTATCGGTCGGACTCGAGAGATCGGGGGCTGATGCCATGTGTCCACCGGACTCGATGGATCATGGACTGGTGTTATTTATCGGCCGGATTCGAGGGATCAGGGAATGGTGCTATGTGTCCGCCGGACTCGAGAAGACAGGGGCCGGTGCTATTTGTTGGCCGGACTCGAGAGATCAGGGACTGACATTATTTGTCGATGATAAGATCCTAATATCGTCGTAATATTGCTTTGAGATCCGAGAAAGGGACGTTTGCATGACACAGCAATGCCATTACGCAGAGGTAGTAGAGGCCATGCTCATGCTTGGTGTCGTGTCAGACGCAGGTGTCAGGCTATGCCAAACGTGTCAGCGTGGTGTCAGACTATGCTCAGGTCGGTTTTGTGGTATGCTCTGTACACAATACAAAGATTGGACATGCATAGCTCGGGGAGACCGTGCTGCGAGCTGCTCGCCTTCTGCTGCGAACACACGAGTGGCCGCCGTATGCCGGTCCCGCGTGCGACTGACCATGGCTCGCCCCGGACCGGATGACCCGCGGCCAGGTCACGCGTTTGGCCCGGCCGTGACGTCATAAGTGACGCCACAGCCAAGCCCGGGGCGGATGAGGGTGGGGGTGGGAAGGCAGGGCTAGCCGACGATGATGCGAATGCATGGTCACAGAAACGCACACATGCATGCAGTTGTAGCACAGCCAATCGCAGGTTAGTTTGCTTTTAATGACCCATAGGTGACATCGCTTATACCGTAATTTGTTAATGAAAATGTCGAAGACATTGGTAGAGTCCCGAAGCGCCTCCTGGCCCGACCTACCACGTGACTTGTGAGTAAATTGCGTGACTCCCGCGTCCAATGCAAACGTGTCAAAGCGGAGAAGAAATGGAACCAGCCGGCAACGATTCGCTGTTGACGGTGCTGCCAGTAGTCAACAGCAGCGCTGGGCCGCTCCGGCTCGCTCTGGGGCACGAATCGAAGAGTAAATCTGGACTGTACTCGTTCTCCATCCCAAGCGTGACGCGTGGATGTGCAGTGCCAATAAAAGACAGGCACTGCTGTGTGGCCTGGAGAGAGTGGAGTCGAACGCCGGGACTGGCCGCGCCAGCCGAGCCGAGTCGGCCGACGGTAATCGCCCCATTGTGTGCGGGCCGTGCGTCTTGGCGCTGTCGGGCAGACGTCCCTCGGAGACACATCGCCCCGGAGCGGTGGGAGAAGGACCCGCTGACGACGCCCCGGCCCCCGCCGCCCGTCCGCCTCCAGGTCTCCGTCTGCTTCCCGTACCCGACACAGCCAGCCGGCTGCCAGCGCCCATCTCGAGCACGGCGCTGTTTGACCACCGAATGTGTGCTTCCTCGCGTATGAAACATCAATGGGTGCTAATGAGATAATGCCGTGGCAATTTCGCCCAAGTGGATTAAAAAGCTGACGGCCGGGCCGCTATTACCACCGATGGGCGCCGTGGAGCGTACAGCCAATTAAGAACTATCGATTTCGTCGCGCTCACAATTCCAGGAAGCCTGCTGTCGAAAGCCTTCGCAACGGAGGCGGTCCGTTGTCAGACGTGAACTTTACATTTCACAGCTGTATCACGTGTCGAAAACTGAGAGGACTGTCTTAATAGCCACCGAGGCGGGTGACGCGGTTAGCGGCTCCGTTGCCTTGACAGCGTTTTTCTTTGTTTCAGCTGTCCGACGACATCGGCTACGTGCTGTACTCGGCGCTCGGCAGCTTCTACATTCCATCCATCATCATGATATTCGTGTACATCCGCATCTACTTCGCCGCGCGGAGCCGCGCGCGCCGCTACGTGAAGCGACGGCCGCGGGCTTGCCCGGTCTCCACCGCCGCCATTACCGCAGCCGAAGTGCACCACGACCTGCCACCTAGCCACGACACCGACAGTCGTAAGTCGAGCGCCGGCAGCGAGGTGGCACCACCGTCGCGCGTTGGCAGCAGACGCTCGCCGCCACGCACGGCCAGCGAGCACTCGGCGCTGGCTGTGCTGCCAGCGGCGACGCCGGAAGCGAACGGCTTGCTGCCGGGGTCACCGCCGCGCCGCCAACCGGCCTCACAGGGGGGTGAGACGGAGCAATCTTCGTCGGAGTCGGGTCATCCGGGCAAGTGCACGGTGGTGCTGCCACTCAGGCGCCACTTCCGCGCCTCCGTCTGGGGGCGCAAGACGTCCAAGGCCAAGCGCGAGATGATCGACATGGGCCGGCTGAAGCTGAAGAAGGAGCCGCCGCCGCCGCCGGAGCCGGTGGTGGAGCACGCAGTGCGCACGTACCGCGACACAGACCGCGAGAAACGGCGGATCGCGAGGAAAAAGGAGAAACGCGCCACACTTATCCTGGGCCTGATCATGGGCTCCTTCATCGCCTGCTGGCTGCCCTTTTTCTTCCTGTACGTGTTGACACCGCTCTGCGAGAGCTGCCAGATCGCCGACTGGGGTTTCGCCTTTGCCTTCTGGCTGGGCTACATGAATTCGGCGCTCAATCCGGTCATCTATACCATCTTTAATAAGGACTTTCGGCGGGCATTCAGAAGGATTCTGTTTAAGTGAGCGGGACTCCTAGCGCCGGCGCCCGAGGTCGGCGTGGCGACGGCCCGGTGACCTTTGAGGACCACGGCAGGAGGTGAAGTCGAAGAAAACGTTCGGCCGAGTTGGATCCCACCGGCCACCTCCCTGTGATACGGTGGTGACGAATTTTGCACAGTGATGAATCGTACAAAAGTGCTGCGCGCAGCTGTGTAGAGGCCGCCTGATGTCGCTGCCACACATCCGGCAGCAGTCGTATTTAAGCTGGCAGCGGTACAGATATCGCCTGTCGTCGCTGTCCTACAACAGGCAGCTTGGGCATATGACTGGCAGCGCCGCTTTCCCTGTAAAGGTCATTGCTTTAATGTCGGCCGAGGCACCCTGACAACGACTAATCTGTCGTAGCAGAGGAATAACTTTGCTCTTGCGTGCAAGTCTCACGCAGGCCGGAATGTTGTTGTGTTACCGGCACTGTACGAAACACCGGAAGTTGATGTGCTTGTGCGTGTGCTTGTGCGTGTGAATGTGCGTGTGCGTGCGCGTAAGCACGTGCGTGTGCGTGTGCGTATGTGTGTGCGCGTGTGTACCTGTGTGTGCGTGTCACACCCATATTGGGCTGCCGTTGGTGGTTGTTTTAGTGGGCGTCACTCAAATACGCTTGTCTTAGTTACCTGAGCCCTGTTTTCAGGTGTTGCTCGTGCGTGCGCACGGGCGCAAAAGTTAGTGGTGTACATCATCGGAGTAGATGTTATACACGTGCGTTTTCAAGCAAGGAGCACATTCCACTCACGTTCTTCATTTATGCCTGCGTACTGCGTGTAACTTTGATCTGTGGCAGTGCTGCATCAGCTCTCTGAGCTCATGAGCTCATGAGCTCTCTGCCCACCATCAATCATAGCATTACTCCAAAATATCCCTCCATCAGTTCCTGGGAAGAACTTGAAGCGACGACATTTTTTTCCAAACCTTATGTGTTGAAGAGAATCAGATGCGTGCAGTGCTTTTAGCCCTTACATTTGATATTTTGTGCTTGCCATTGACAGAAAAGCACGAAACGTTCGTATGCTTCTTGTTGTATGAAGGAATGACACAGCCGCACGGATGCTATAAGTTTTTAATGGTCAAGTTTTTACACTTAGGAAACAACACATTCTGCGTATTCATACCAGGTCGACATTTAGTTTCCTTGGAATTCGCACAACGAGGCTTCGCCAAGCCAAAGGCAGCTGTTTCAACAAACGTTCGAATTACAGATGTAAATCTGCGCGAAAGTTCGCTGCCGACTGGGAACGCGACCATTCCAGAAATTCAACGCTCGTCCTGTACCAAGAAAAACACGTCACTGGATTTCCGCACGCATCAGGCTTGACACAGAGCGTTTGGTATTTCTTAGAACAAGTTTCGAGAAGACAAAAGTGTCATTTAACTAGTTAAAGTTGAAATGATACTTGTGATATTGAGCGGAAGACACTTGTATCATCTTCGTGATTATACTTTGTCTCGTAAGATGGCACGATCATGGCTCCGTCATAGCAGATCTTACAAGTGTGAAACCCTCAATCATATCGGCTGCCCTACAAAGGAAAAGAAGCGTAACTTTTAAATAAGAAGTCTCAGGTGAGCATTTGTAGTTTTAAGACCTTCCATGCCCCAATGCATGTACATCACATCGCTCACTTCGTTGTGTTTACACTAACTGGTGCATAGTATTTACTTTTTACCTGATATGAACAACTCAAATTGACAAAAGCGCGCATACTGGACGGGCTGATGCACGCCTCGCCCTCGGCGACATGGCGTTTGGCTTTTAACGTGAGCTGTAAACTACTAAGGAAGCTTACGAGTTGTTTGCAGGAATATAAAAAAATGACGCCAGGTGAAGATAACATGTGTGAGATGCAGTAAGGTGATCTATCTCATGGCGTTTGCACGCATTCAATTTTAAAAAAGTGTATCCTACCTTACTGAAGTCGGTGCATTTTGTGTGCGTTTGGAAAACCATAAAGGTGCTCGGCTAGGTGCTCATATCACAAAAGCTATACATGTTGCAGCATCTCACTGAAGCCAACGGTAGATACTACAACGCTGTTTGCATTCCAAGGGACTAACTTGATGAGTGAAAGTAAGATTCATTTGGGAGATATACTAAAGTCTCGACTCTCGTTTGGACACTAAACGTACAGTGGTCTGTTTTTCTGTCGGGCTCCAGACGCAAAGCAAGACATTATGATAAAGAAGCCCGTGCTCACGTTGATTTCTTGGTAGTATACGGAACTCTTTTTAGGGGAATTAAATGCTTCGCATTTTCAAAAAAGCATGCTAATTATTCAGCCAAGGGAACCGTCAGCTGACAACGGTATCATTTTACAGCTGTCCATCGGAGGCGATGCGGGCAGTAGCTGTAGTGTCGTTAGAGAAACGCTCTGGTTCTGGGTGTTCTCTTTGAATACCATTCTGGCATGCCGTTTGGAGCACCGAACAACCGAAAACTTTAGTAGTCAATGTACGTCCATAGCATCTTTCAAAAATGCACCCGACCGAATCACTCGTTTGCTGGAGATCGAAATTGTATGCTCATATGCGAACTTTTCCGCATTATGTGAAATGAATCCACGCTGACTGGGAAAGTGTGTGTGACCAGCTGTCCTACTCTTGCGTTTAATGTCTAAGTACAGTGCCAAAGTCATGTCTCCAAACGCCCCCTTGCTCTGGGATGCACCCAAAGCACACGCTAACAGGCAGGGTTTACAGAGCAGAGGTCAACTGATGTGTTTTACTTTCAGTGTTTACGCTTTAACCAGCACTTGTGTGTTATACTTACCTCATCGTCAGCTACTTGAAAACTGCAGGATAACATACTTCTTAAACTTCATCGTTCGATAAAACCATACATGTTGCACTCTAGCCATAAATCAGATGTCATAAAATGCGCACATTTTGTCTTGATCCATCGATGTACATGCCGAATTGCGTAAAATGCGCTTTATAACGCTTTCGTCTTTGAGCCCACATAGATGACGTTATATTTTTACTGTCTTAGAGGTGATTGCAAACTCAGTTTCTACGGTAACGTGTAATATTCTCCTGCATATCCAGCACCAAAGTCATAATAAGCCACCAAAGGCAAAACCACGAAAGCATGGTTTTAAATGCGCCAAAGTGTCGAGAGAGCTCCAAGCCACCTTCACCCCACAACGGGAACCAAGAGAGCCCTGCGTAGAACTCCTCTGTCGTCAACAATTGTCTTGTAAATACACCGTTCCGACACGTGTCTCTGCTATTCAGCCTCGGTCCAGTGTTTTCCTTCGAGAGCGAGGGAAGCGAGCCACCCGAATATGATAAACACGGTGTTGCGGCGGATTCTCATCAGCAGTTGCTATTCATAAGCGCGCTTGGGTTCCACGGGAACTTGATTAAGGCTTCATATCGTCACCCTTGCAATGGATACGCTTATAGCGTTATCGTGGTGCACCAAAGGACCGTCAGCCTTTGTATCATCACTGACAATATGTGGCTTCATGCATTGAGCCGCATTCTAGCCCATTGCTTTAGTTTGTCAGTGCGCCTGCGAAAATGTGGTCTCTGGCAACACGCATCTTATGAAAAAGGATTCGAGCCACCAATATGTAGGCATTACTGCAGCGCTTAAAAGGGTTTGAAACTCCAACGACTCCACCTACAAAACGTTGTCACAACCTTGCGTTCAGATTTCGAGAGATCTTCATTGCCGCCAAAGGCGTTCACGGAACACAATCCATATGAGCTAGTGCCGTGACAAAGCTGGAAAAAACATTCCCCTCCCTGCCAGCAACACGCAGGAACAGCGATCTCTCCAGCGGAACTGGTCACAATAACGCGTTTGGTGGTCGCGCTTGCCAACAGATCGCCACTCTATACTCAATGCACCTCCGCTAGCCCGTACAGCACCTGCGTAAATCACCTACGTACATCACTGACGTACAGCACTGTATCATAACAATGCTGTTTAGCTCTCCACATTGCCGCCGCCTCCGTCTGGCACGGCCGTACACTCTGCGCCCATGGGCAGAAGCCCCTCCCGAAGCTCTCAGCCACGTGCCCTGGCCGATCAGGCTGACGACGGTCGTGGTCGCCTGCCCCGTCAAACTGGTCCGGGACACGAGGATTTCAGAGCCCCATAACGTCACACTGAACGCGGACGCGCGTCATTCGTGCGGCGGGTGGCGCGCTCGGGCTGTTGGTAGCAGCAAGCGCAGCGCAGCTCGTGTCGTGCACACTGTTCCATTATCTGAGTGGTGGCTGCAGTGTGCTGGGTAATTTTGCGCTAATATTAATCTTGCGACGAACCGGATGGCGCCGCGGCGTGGGATGCGGCTCGGTAAGTTCAATGCGAGGTATCTGTGGGGAGCACTCGTCCACACAAGATCAAGTTCACGTGCTGCAGGGGGCTCCGGTTCATACACCCACCGCCTCCACAGCACTGCATTAGAACAATGGTAATTAGAGGGAAAATGCCGCCTTTTTGCACTTTGCACCTATTGTAAGATCACACGTGTACGATATTTTCGGTAATGCCAGTTTTCTCGAAGTTCTTCTGGCTAGTTCAGAATTTATATTTGAAGCTGTGACTTCTGTGGAAGAAATCTCATTGGACTTCCTATTCACCACTATAAAAGTAAAGCATTTCTTTTGCCTGTTTTTTCAACATACGTGCTCTGTAATGTTTGCAACACACTAAGTTGTCAAAATATTTGTGCAATAAATGACACAAAATTTTAAAACATTCTGTTTAGCCAAAGACACATGCGAACATGAAGCTATTATCACGCGATTCAACGAGACGTTAAATTATGGCCTTGATTTCTCCCCTACGAAGTTTACCGCAGTGGTTCTTTTCGATGCGTACGTTAGCTTTGGAAATGGGAGCATCACATGTTACACAGTGTCGCACTGGTTCAAACTTCGGCCAATGCACTTCTCGGTAAGAAGCCCTCGCCGCCCGCTGGGCCAATCACAAATGTTCTTTTCTTCGCACCAGTGGAGGTGCCACGGCGGTCGCCATGCTGTCGGTGGTCGAGACAACTGCAGGGAAGAAGCGTTGTGCTGTTACAAAACGTTGACAGCATCATTTGGACTCGAAAATAACTAAAATTGATGTCCTTTTTATGCCTTCACCGTGCTGCAGTGCCACTGCCCAGGCCTTTTATGAAACGTCAGTGTTCCTGAGGTTTCACGAAAATAACTTTTTGAAATATGTTCCAAAGGTGGGAGACCCCTTTAAGGCGTGCGAGCTAGCTGGAAAACTCGGTTGAGCGACGCTTGTAATTTTGTAGCAGCTGTGGGTGGGAATGGGCCATTATTCATTATGTGTCGTGATTATTTGAAGCGATCGTTCCGCACGAAATAAACCAGTGGCAAGACACGTCACAAAATGCAATCAATCGGTGCGCGATGCTTTTCGCCCGGCCAGTTTCCGCCCTTAACTCTACCGAGCAAAAACGTACGCAGAGACCAAACACGATATGCCACTTCGGAGCACAAAATGAGTCTTCTCCAGCCCTAACTTAGCCATCTCGATTCGACCGTGGCCGCATTTCAGCATCACGCTTTTCCACCAAGGAAATTATTTTGCCGGAACGGCGCCGGAGAGGCCCAGGTGGCGCATCGGCCGCTAAGCGAAGGCCTGGTCTGGGATCGAGGCCAGATCTGGACGGCGCACACCCGTCGACGGGCTGCGTTCAGGGCCCAGCTGGGCGTTGATTAAATCACCGATCAAAGCCAACTGAAATGTGGGCGCGCGGCCTGCGCCAATCTGTCCGCTTCTAGCAACGGGTCACGGATCCTTCCCTACCCCTCCAAGAGACTATACACGGGGCACCAGCTGAAGACCGACGCTCGACAATGTGTGCGTCATTGCTATCAAAGCTATCTCGCGACGAAATGACAGACCTTGTCATCCAGGTTCCCTGATGCATAGTCCATCAGGCGCACCGCCTAGGTCACCTGCATAGATACGAACGACTGACCCATGCATTTCGACAGTATTTGGCCTTTAGCCAGATGATCGTGCCGTTTGGCTATGTTGCATTAAACTGAAGCCGCCTCTCCATTCGGTCTCACCACGTGCATTGCTCTATCTTTTCGAGTCTTATTATCGCTTCAGACGTCACGAAATTCTCGCCATTTGTATAACATATTTCAACCTGCAGGAGGGTTCGAAGCGAATCACCGAACGCGCTCCTTACATGCGCTCCCCGCTGCCACCAACACCACCACGAGTTTTTTTACACGTCGAGGCCCTCGCATCCCAAAAGACGCTGCAAAGTCAACGGCTCTAGAGGCTGCAGACTCCAGCACGAAACACCTGCATATCGATGCTTTGAAGTCAGAAATGAAATCCCACCACCGCGGAGGGCTTTGATCTTGTAATGCAATCCCGGTCCCATTATGAAGTCGATTCGGAAGCGTACCAGCAGGGACGCTTCACAAAATACGCAGAAAAGGGGGCGGAGGCGACTGAGCAGGAAAAATGACTAAATCCATAAAAACACTCAAGGCGTGCTCCTCCCTGTTTCGACCCACTTTCTTGTCAAAGTTGGGGACTGACCAACTGAAAAGGGGCTTATAGTCCTGCTCACGAGAACCGGTTGGAGCGCGGGAAGGCGGGGAGGCCACATGTCGTCGCTTCAGCCAAGTCAATCCGCTGCGGCCAGCCGAACAAGGCCGAACTGGCGCGGTTGTCGCGGTCAGCGGCGCGTGGTCCATGGCGCGCGGCGTGGTGGCGCCAAACGTTTATTGGCGCGTGCCGGCCAAGCATCAATACTGCGCCCCGCCTGGCCGCCCTCGAGACGGCTCTTATCACCTCCTGAGGGAGGCTGGCAGAACAGGCCCCATCACGCGTCACGTGGCCTGGCGGACCTCCGTATAACGAGAGGTCACACAGATAGCGCAGTATGTGCCCTGGTGCGGCCACAGTGAGTGGGCGGTCTGGATTACGCGATGGTACCAGGACGGGCTGTGTTCGGCGGCTTTATGTTTAGCAAGTTCTGCACACGACGTCATTTAGTTACTACGTTAGCAACAGCATTGCCAGCATCCAAACACCATTTAAGTTTCCGCGTTCAGCTGCGCCTGCAACACTGATGGACTGGACAGCGAAGGCGGCTAGCGCTTGCAGACTGACAGATCAGTGGCAGACCTTGCAGCAGGCCGCACAAACTTGTATAAATCGTGGCAAGCTTGATGGAACGCTACGGTAGCACCTCATCACCTCCATCATCGCGCCTGCGCTCGAAAGATAGCCGCTGTATAGCGCTCATCCCAAGTGTCATTTCTTGCTGCAGACAGGTCATGAATCGCGCTGGAATGGAACGAGTGGGTCATGTCGCTCACTCAGGGCGACTACGTCGCTCAGGGCAACTAGCTCTGAACGAGCGGCAACTACGTCCGTCCCACTCGCAGCACTGAAACGAAATGGCCGGCCTTGAACTGTGACCCTCACGTTGGATTACCAGTGTCGCCGCTGGTTAGCTATTGGTAATAGCATTTATTTCTTTGTTAGTCCTTTTAAATGTTCAGCCAAATGTCACAGACTATGGTCGTATTGACAACCAGCGGGAAACGAAGGCAAGGTCCGGTGAGCGCCACAGGGTGCCAGCCGAGGCGGAGTTTCGCGCGAACAGGAACGCAGTCACGTGACGAGCTCAGTATCTGAAGCCAGTGTACCCCTCCACATAAGAACATCGCTTGAGTAGCAAAGACGCTCCGGCTCGGTCTCGGGCTGAGTCCTTATCACCTCTTGCTAGGCACGGCCATGCTGCGCGCTTCCATGTTACCGATTTTTGAAAAACTCGGAAGAATTCAGTCAGCGGAGCGTTTCCTGTGTATAGCAACCCATGTTATGGTGAGCGAACTGTGCTTCTTTTGGGAACAGAACTGAAAAGCCAAACCACAAACGTGGCTGGGCGTCAATTTCAAGACAACAAGAGAAGAAAATAGTGATTAAATTGTTGTTGACAAATAGTACGCATCAGACATCAGAAAATTATTCTACTCAACAGCGCACAAGATCATGCCTCCGCAAGACGGACTGGACGCTGTGCTGAAAACAAAGGGATCAGAGATTTAAGACCAAACTGCCACAAAGCTCGCCAGCCCAATCTGTAGCTAGCCACATAAAACAGATCATAATAAAACCATCCCAAGCCCCCCCCCCCCCACCCCACGCAAGAACGCGAAGCCCCGGTGGTGCGAGGAAGCGGGAGATGTCGTCAGT